TCCTGAACTTTTGTTACTGCATGTGTTAATTGATCAATAGCATGAAAATATACAAAGAATTTTCTAAGTTTGGAGTTATATGATGCTCCTTGATAACCAGGAAAGTTAATGAACAGCCTGTTAATAAAATTCCGTTTATCGGCGATAGATTTACCAGTGATATCTGCAGCATCATCTGATGCAAAAAAACACATTGGTGAAGTGATAATATTGAAGGAAGTATCTTTCTCGTTAAGATCACATGATTGGTCAGTTTCGCTTACATTATTTTCAACTTGGTTAGCCCAAAAGAGTTGTTTATTCTTTCCTTTGGTAAAAGAAGTAGTTGGAAGTGGAATATATTCATCTGTTGTATTCTTTACATATCTGGAAATATTAGTGTCAGTTTCTTGAGACGAAGAAAGTGGAGTATTTTTTGTTTTATCTATTTCCATTTCATATACTTCTGAATCTTCAAAGACGAAGCCTGCCTTAGGAGTAAAGGAAGTATTCTGTGTAATAACTGTTATTTGTTGAGTATTATCTAGGTCCTCAGTTATTGTAAGAGTATTATTGAGTGTAGTAGTATCAGTTTTTTATCTTTTTGTAGTTTTAGTAATATTCTCATTATTCTTATTTTTTCCTTTATCGTTGAGGAATAGTACACTTGATTCTTTATTGTTATCTGAAGAGTTTGAAATAGTTTTGATATAAGGTTCAGTTTTTTTTCTGTATGTGCTCTGTTTTCTAGTTGTTGAAGACATTTTGGTCAAAAAGATCAGCGAAAAGAGTTTTTATTTTATTTTTTTTTTTTTTTGTAATTATTTAATAATAAGTTATTTTAAAAAATTGAAAAATTGAAAAATTAATTTATATTAATAATTATTAATTTTAAAAATTTAAAAATACTATCATTAGATAGATCTTAATATGACAAATCTAATAAACTTTATTTCATCTTTTTATAATCATTAAATATTAAAATATTATAATTTTTCTATAATATTTTATAGCTAATTTATACCTACGCTTTAAGGGATAAAATAACGTTAGAATTACTTTGATTAAATATCTAGATTAAAAGTTATTAATCGGCAAAGTTCAAGTACTTTCTTAAATGAGAATGGATTTGAAACATATAACTCCGGCCAGAATTATGCCTAAATTTATAATGTAGGTCACTTATATAAATAGTTTAGACTGTATACATATGATGATCAACTGATCTTTTTTTTACCAATGGGATGTCCAAAATGACGAATCTAATAATGCCGAGAGATTGCAAAAAAAGAAAAATTCAAATTGCAAAAAATCATGATAATTCTGATTCAAATGATTCAAATGATATTTTAGACTTGAATAATGAGGTTAACACGGATGATGAAGTTGAATGGGTTGATAAGGATGAGGCAAAGCAACTTTTTTTGGTTTTAACTAAAAATATGAAAGAACTAAAACTTTCGAAACGTCCGTTAGTAAATATAGGAAAACTCACGAATGATAAAATATTGACAAAAAGTTAAAGCATTAGAAAATCGAAAAAAAAATGGACAAACTTTTTATCAACTATTAAATAATCATAATACTGGTAGTTCTTCCAGTTATAATTTTGGTAATGGTTCTTTTGGTGATAATGGTTCTGGTGTTGATTTCGGTGGTGGTTCTTTTAGTGGTAATTTTGGTGGTAGTTCTTTTGATGGTAGAGATGGTTCCAATAGTAGTTTTTTTGGTGAAGATGGTTCCAATAGTGATAGTTCTAATAATGATAGTTCCAATGATAATTCTAATGATGATAAAATCATAAAAAATGCACAATTTAATGCATTAATTAATATAATTGAAGATAAACTAAAACTTGAGAATAAATATTTAACTCCAGAATATAAGCTGCGACTTAAAGCTATCCAACATTATTTACAACTCCTTAACAAAGAACATGCAATATTAAAAGCAAATCAAACTATTACAGATCTTCTAAATCGAGAAATATAGTTTGCTCATTGTGTTAGAAGTTGGGCTAAAGCATTTATTGAATATGGCGACGTTCCTGAAAGTAATCATGAAAAACATCTTAAGGGAAGCAGTGTTCTTGATGATGAGGATGTTCAATTAAAATAACATCATAACTTTCATGATTATATTTCTAATAAAATTTTGTCTTTTGTTAGCATAGAAAAAAAAACTAAAATCAGGTATTTATTTTATAATATTTGTATTTATGGATTACTTTATTTTATAAGTATATTACTAAAAATCTTTACATTTTATAGTAAATCTATAGCAATCTGATGGTTAAAGAAAATGGGATTTGTTTTTAGTCAATATACAAAAGGAATGTATATTAATGGTCATGAAAGAGATGATGTCGTTGCTTATCGAAAAAAATTTCTTGAAATCATATTCCAGTAACAAATTTATTTTTATTTAATTTAAATTAGACTATATTATATTTTTATATTTACAGTATATCTTATGTATATAATTTTGTAGTTACCAAAAGTTAATGCTAAAATTTACTGGTGATAAACTTGAAATTAGGATTGATCCAGAATTAGAAAGTGAATAATAAGTACATGTTCTTGTTACTCATAATGAAATAACTTTTCAATCAAATGATAGACAAAAATCGGGTTGGAGATCTAAAAATGAGCAACCTTTATGAAAAAAAGGTCAAGGAAGAACTATTTATGTTAGTAATTTTTTAACTGATATAATTGGAAGATTGAAATTAGATGAAAAAGAGATTGATAATACAATCCAAATGAAACTCGTGTTATGATTAATCCTGGAAAAAATTTTGATAGATGGTGGAATGTTGATCAATTAATTGACCAGGAATTTTTTTATTATAATAAATTAATATATATTGAATTATTCAAAAAAACTAATATAATTTAAATGTAAATTATTAGATTAAAACTCAGGCTATACCAATTTTTGAAAAAACACATTCAGCATAATTGCTATATTTACTTTTGATAATTCTTCTAGTCATGCAAAACTGGCTGATAATACTCTTAATGCAGCAAATATAAATTTTAATCCTGGTGGTAAGCAGTTAATTATGCGTGATATAATATTTAATGGTCAAGTTTAACCTATGGTATTTCCTTTTGATTATCCTAATGAAACACTTCATAGAAAACCTAAGAGAATGGAAGTAGTTTTACAAGAGCATGGTTTATGGGGTTCTGGATTAAAAGCCTTTTGTGGTAAAAATAATATATCATTAGAAAATTCAAAATGTTATGTACATCATGTTTTAGCTGCTCAAAAAAATTTTTGTAATCAAAAACTATTATTACAAGAAATTATTGAAGGATTAGGATACAAAGTAATTTTTATCCAAAATTTCATTGTAAACTTAATCACATTGAGATGTATTGGGGAGCTGCAAAATGATATACCCAGCAACGTTATAATTATACATGGAAAGGATTACAAGAAACTGTTCTAAAGTATTGGATTCAGTTTCTTTAAGTCATATATGTAAATATGCTCAAAAATCAGCAAAATTTATGAAGTGTTATAGGAAAGGATTAACAGGTTTACAAGCTATGTATGTTTTAAAAAAATATAAATCACATTGAACTGTTTCAAACTTTGTTTTTGAAAACATTGATGAATTAATAAAATAAAGTTTTTATTGGATTATATTTGTCATGTAATTAAATTTTTAGCCAATCACAAATTAGTATTGTATTTATCACGTGATTATACGAATTTTTAAAATTTGAAACATATATAAATAACTTGATGACTTTTAATGAAATACACTATATAGCTAAAATAAAATGAGCTAAAAAAAATATATATTAGAATGACTTTGAATAAACATTTTTCACTATAATTTTTTTGTTTTATTATTCATAGTTTCCCTATAAAATGAAGTAATGCACTATTAACTGATAATGAAAAATCAATGGTAATCTCTGTTAAAGCTCTAAATGGTTCAAATTAATCTGAGATCAGTTCAGTTTTGATCAGTTTTGGATTGCATAAAAATCAATTTAAAAATTTTCAGTTCAGTTCAGATTTTTTCGGATTATAATTCTAATCTGAATTGAAAAAAATTTGAACTGAACTGATAATTTCAGATTAATCTGAAAGTTCAGTTCAATTATATGTGAAACTTTTGGAAGATCGCAAAATTTGTGAATTCTCTAAGAGGATCGTAAAAATTTAGCGAAACTCTTAGAGAATTGCAATTTTTTGCAGTTTCTCTTTAAATTTCACAAAAAATTGCGAAAATCTTAAAGATCGCAATTTTTTGCAATTTCTCTTAGAATTTCGCAAAAATATTGTAAAACTTTTAGAAAACGCAAAAAATATTACGAAATTCTTGGAGAGTTGCAAAAAATTGCAATTTCTTTTCGAATTTTGTAAAAAAAATGCAAAAATCTTGAAGAATCGCAAATTTTTGTGAATACTCATCAAATTTTGCAAATTTTTGTGAACCTTAAAGAAAAATTTGCGATTTTTTGCGATTCTTCTAAAGTTTCGCATATAAATTGCAGATTTCTTATATAATCGAACTGTAATTTTAGATTAATCTGAAAATTTCAGTTCAGTTCAGATTTTTACCGGACTGCAGTTCAGTTTAAATTCAGATTGGCATTTTTAAGATTAATAATCTGAACTGAACTGAACTGAAATTTTCAGTTCAGATACAAATTGACATCTAATCTGGACTGAACTGAACTGTTTGAAGCTTTAATCTCCATTTACAATTATTTTTCAGGGGTTAATTTTAAAACAGAGAACTATTAGAAGACTATATTATGTAAACGAGTTTCTGATGCATTAAATATATTAGAAAGTATGGTTAGAGTGGTTATAGCAGATTGAAACAAGCGTGATGATAACACTTTTATACTGCATAAAACCCTTGGTCGACCTAAATTACAACCTGATGAAATATTTCAGAAATTTTGTATACGAAAATTTTAAATTTTAACAAAACGGCTGAACAACTTTCTATACATATCTTACAACAGTTTTTTACTGAAATAGGATATGACTTTTCTAAATGAAAGCTTTTTTGAATATTACACTAATTTGGCTTTTATTATGGTCAGAGAGAACGTAAAAATGACCTTTATGAATTACCAAATAATGTTGTATTTTGTAGTTATTATCTTCATTTTCATTTTGTCAATTTAGAAGGCCAAAATGATATTTTACGTTGTCTAGAAGTTTTCTTGATGAATCATACTGCCACTTATATTATATGCTCGTAATACATGGGTTCTTTATCATGGTGTTGTTTTGGCATCTGGGCATGATTCGTTAGTGGTAATTTTTAGAATAATTATTGTATTCTGAAATGGATCTTCCAATAAGCTAAATGATAAACTTGTTCCTAATTCTGTTCATATTTAAAATTTAACAATTAAACCTTTAAGTAATAGAGGAAGAAAAAGGAATAATGCTGAAAAATAAAATGATGTTTCTGAAGTTGTTAAAGAAGCAAATATTATCCCTAACCAAGTAGATTATAATGGAAATTTTACTGCAGAAATTTTTGAGAACATTTTTTCAACTCTTTGCAAAACTCTTCATGAAAAATATGGGTCTGTATATATTCATATTAATGAGATAAGCTATTATAAATGACGGGTTGAAAGTATTCTAACTTTGAATGCAAAAAAGCAAGAAATTATTAATTAGTTAAATACATATAATATTGCTTTTTCAGATGAGTTAAGAAAACCAGAACTTTAAGAACTAGTTCAAATAAACAAAGAAAAGTTTCTATTTTCATATATTAAGATTACAGAATAATATAAACATGAAGTTAATTTTACCCTTCTTATCATTGCGAATTACAACCTATTGAAGGCGTTTAGTCAGTTGTAAAGGGTAAAGTTGCGTGATCAGGTTCACATCCAAATCTTTTATCTATTAGAAATACATTATTAAATGCATTTAAAGAAAAAATTTTTTTAAAAGTCATTGTTAGACTTTGGAGAAGAGCGTTTAAAAATACTAAAGAATATTTTGAATCTGATGAAAATATATAATTAATAGATGAAGAATTTGATGTTTATGATAGTTTCAATAATGATCATGTGATATGATGTAATTTTATATTATATCTTTTCCAATATGTAGTAATAATATTCAAATTAAAAAAAAATTTACATAATAAAAATTTTTTATCAATGAAATATCTGAGATACGAATCTTTTTGTATCAGTTCATATTAAAGTTTAACTATATTTTTTTTTTACTTTGCCTAATTTTTTTTTCTTTTATAGAAAAGAAAAAGAAGCAAAAAGCTTCTGATAAAAGAAATGGTAGAAATGGTAGAGATGATAAATAGATACTTTCTTTAAAAGAGTTGATATTTTGACAAATTTATGCTTATTAATAACTTTATTTTCTTTTTAGTAAAGTAATCAGCTCCAAGTTGTAAATACAAATATTTTTTATAGTTTAAATTTTTTTGACAAATTTATGTTTTATAATAACTTTATTTTTTTAGCAATAGCTGAATAATCAGCTCTAAGTGATAAATACAAATTTTCTTTCTTTAAAAGTTTTAACATTTTGATAAATTTATGCTTAGTAATAACTTTATTTTCTTTTTAGCAGAGTAATCAACTCCAAGTTGTAAATATAAATATTTTTTACAATTTTAATATTTTAACAAATTTATACTTAATAATAACTATATTTTCTTTTTAATAACAGAAGTTTTGAAAGATTGTAAATATAAATATTCTTTAATAACTCTTTATATTTTAATAATTTATTTTGATGAATTTATATTTACTAATTATTCTATTCTCTTTTTATCAGAATTTTTATTTTTATTTTTATTTTTATTACTTTTTTTACTTTTTTTACTTTTTTTTTTGCTTTTTTTTTAATCTTTTTTTTTTATTTTTTTATTCTCAAAATACATTTTTTTTTGCTTTTTTTTACTATTTTTTCAACTATTTTTTTTTAAATTAGTTTTTATTTTTCTTTTTTTATCTTAAGAAACAAAATTTTAAACACTTTAATTTTACATATTTATTTTAAATAGTGAGGCTCAGTTCATATCAAATATTAGCTGAAAACTCAAATTATTTTTTGGACTATTAAGGTACTGATATCCTCATTATACAACCTGAGTACTATTTATAATAATAGTAGCAAACAAGTACTAATTTTATAAATTATAACAAATCCATTAATTGTTTTATTTTTAGTATAAATCAATCGCAAAAAAATATTAATTTGTTAAAAAAAACATAGAATTTTTTTTGATAAAAGTATATTAATTTTGTTATAAAAATCTTATAATTTTCAATGTAATAAAATATAATATTTTTTATTATTTTACATTTATCTTGAGTATGGATTAAAGATGATATCTCAATTAGTTGCAACAGGTGACAAATAAGTATCACAATGTTACAACAAATTGCAATGTTATTAAAATTTAAGTTGCAACAGGTGATAAATAAATATCATAATGTTGCAACGCCATTTTTAATATGGATTCAGTTTATATCAAATATTAGCTGAAGACTTAAATTTTTTTTATTGTATCACCTGAATACTATTTATAATAATAGTAACAAATAAGTACAAATTTTATAAATTATAATTAGTGTTCCGCAAATCGGATTAGATCAGATTTTATCCAAATTTGATCTGATCTGATTTTTATTTTTCAGGATCTGAATCTGATTTGAATCTAACAGATTTGTTAAAATTCAGATCTAATTTAAATTTGATGGATTGAATCTCAAATCTGGATCTGACGGATCAGTTTAAATCCAAATCTGATCTGATCTAAATCTGAAAGCTTTATTGAAAAAATGAATTTTCAGTTCTAAATGAGATCCAAAAATGTTTCTTTTTAATGAAAGGAACTTTTCAGTTCTAAAAGAGGTTTGAAAATAAATTCATTTTAATGAAAGAAACTTTTTAGCTCTAAAAAAGATCTGAAAATTTATTCCTTTTCAATGAAAGGAACAAATTTTTAGATCTAAAAGTGTTCGAAAATTCATTACTTTTCAATAAAAGAAACTTTTTGGCTCTAAAAGAGATCCAAAAATTGGTTTATTTTCAATGAAATAAACTTTTCAGTTCTAAAAGAGATCCGAAAATTGGTTCCTTTTCAATAAAAGGAACTTTTCAGCTTTAAAAGAGATCCGAAAATTAGTTCCTTTTTAATGAAAGGAACTTTTCAGTTCTAAAAGAGATCCGAAAATTCATTCCTTTTCAATGAAAGAAAACAAATATTCGGCTCTAAAGAAGTCTAAAAATTTGTCCTTTTTCATTGAAAAGGAACTTTTCAGCTTTAAAAAAGTTAAATTCAGATCTAACTGATCAGATCTGAATCTGAATCTGAATCTGACGGATCAGATCCGAATCTGAATTTGAATTTGACAGATCAAATCTGAATCTGAATCCAAATCTGACGAATCTGATCTGATTCGAATCTGAATCTGAATTAGATCTGAATCTGACAGATCTGATCTGAATCTGATCTATCAGATTCAGATTGAATTCAGATTGATCTGAATCTGTGCGGAATACTAGTTATAACAAATCCATTAATTCTTTTGTTTTCAATAAAATTAATTGCAAAAAATATTAATTTGTTAAAAAACATATAATTTTATAGTAAAATCCTTATAATTTTCAATGTAATAAAAAATATTTTTTTTTATTATTTTTATATATTTTTAATTAACAATTCCTTATTTATTATTTTTTATAAAAAAAATGCTAAAAAAAATTTCTTATAAAATATAAGAAAATGTGATACATAATTTAACAAAAATATATATAAAACTTATTTATAATAATGAAAAAACATATACAAATTTTTTATAGGAATTACATATATAATATACTTAATTTACATATTTTATATATTAGTAATTCTATTTTTTCCTTATTTTTTATACATAATAATTATATACATATTATACATTATTTACAAATATCAAAAACGTATTATTTTTATATATATTTCTATATATTAATTTTTTATAAAAAAATAACTACTGAGATTTATCATGTAAAAATAACTTTTAAAATTGAAATTTAAGAATATAAATTTGCAATTTTTAAGAAGTTACCTTTTATTTATTGTTAATAAAAGTAATTTTGAAACAAATAGACCTTTAAATTTAAGAATTTTATTGTTAATAAACCTTTAAACATGTTTATTTTATTTGTTAACAAGTATTCTTATACAAATAAAACCTTTGAAATTGTAAATTTTAGCAGAATAAAGAATTAATTCCCTTTATTGGTATTTTATTTAATTATCATATATCAGCATAGTATCTTTGATTATTTTTGAAGTATTCTAAGAATTTTAAAGATTAAATCAATAAAGTTCTTATACTTTCTAACTTAGAAAATTGAATTGTGAAAGAATATTATGATAAGATTTAAGAAAGAGCACGTGACACCTTCCTTTAACCTTCAATTTAAGAATTTAAGCAAAAACTCTCCTAAACGAACTTGAATTTTAACCTAAACTTAACTGTTGCTCAATCAGTTAAGTGTTTCAATCTGCTTAATTGATAATTGAATAATAATATATTATTAAATCTTGGATATTAAATATTAGAATAATATTTAAATTAATAATCATTAAAATTAAAATTTAGAAAAGATAATATTGATTAATTAAAATTAAAAATTAAAATTAAATAACTATATCAAATTTTTAAATTTAATTTAATTTAAATCTGATAGATTAAATCAAATTAAATTTATTAGATTGAAATCAAATTTAAATTTGAATTTGAATCTAAATTTAATCTATCATATTTATAAATACCTACTGAAACCTCTCCAAAATAATTTTGTCATAACTTTTTCTATGTTTTTAATATAATTTTAACAGTTTCAGCTTTCATTGTATCAAAAGGATTTTATTGTATTTCTTATTAAGATTTTAATATAATTTTGTCTAAGTTTTAACTGTTATTAAGAGATTTTGTTTCTCATCTATAATCATATTTAATTTATTTAGTTATATTATATAAGTTTTAATTAACATTTTTAAGTTATGTATTTAAATTAATATTATTATTAAAAATTTTCTTTTATAACCTATTTATATAACAATAAACTTTATTCGATTTTTTGATTAAAATGGCAATAAATCGTCCCATTTATATTAGATTAATTATTAAGTAAAAATGTATTCCAAAAATGCGAGCTGAGATTACTGCACCAAATATTACCTACAGATTATTCCTTGTTTACTAATTTTAGTATAAAAATTGAAATGTTATTACTCTTACGTCACAATGGGAAAAGAGGCTGAAAGAGGTTAGCGCTATGAATGATTGTAACTTGTATTTATTAATAATGTAATCACGTGAATTGTACAAGGCATATGTTAAATAGATGATTATGAATCAGATTTATCAGATGAAATCTTTTTTTTTATTTTTTTTTATACATATAAATACAATTTAAATTAATTAATCGATTTTTATGCCATATTTTCGAATATTTTTTTCTCACTTTCATTTCAAAATTTACATTAAAAAAAAAAACAACTCATAATTTTCCAAATAGATTAGATTACTTCTCGACGAGATTTATTTTTTTTTTTTTTAGAAGATCCGGTAAAATTTTCTTTGCACCGGATATTTGACCGGTAGATTAATATTTTTTATTTGTTTGTTTGTCTTCGTCAAGATAAAAGCCCTATTCTTTTGATAATTCAAAAATTTATCACCAAAAAAGTAGAAACAATGCAGTTTAGTCCAAATTGTCCAAATTGTTTTTGCGGTCTCCCAGCATCGCCAGTTTATTCCGAAGAATTTGGCTTGTTATACGAATGTCATAATTTACACAATAATCCATGGGTTGAAGAACAGCTTTTGAACGGGCGAGGCAGTCCTGAAAGCGACCAAGTAAGATTAAAAAGTTATTTATAACTACTACTAATAATATAATTTATTAATCATTTTAACATTTCTCAAATTTGTTGAATGCAGTCAGATACAAACATAGTCCTTTCCTTATCAACAAGCAGACAAAAGGATAAAATATGCGGTTATCATATTCACAAAGATACCTGGGATAGTTTTTTCGATAGTGAAGGTTTAGATGCAGAACATCCAGAATTGGCTATTTGCCCATTTTTTAATTTCACCTTTTGTGCTTTCTTTCATCTAAAGAATACTTTCCGATTAAGCCATCCACCTCCTCCAAATTGTTTTTGTAAACTTCCTGTAACGATGCGATATGTTTACTCTCAGGATTTAAATCGAGAAGAGTTGAAGTTCGTTTGTCCAAATTATTTAATTGACGGAGCGAGACCTAAATGTACATGGATGTTATCGGCAAGTGAAGTGCCATTCAAAAGACCTAACGGATGTACACATCCTTTGCAAAAGCAAGGTTCAAATAGACTTTTAGAGCCTAGTCAACAAATTCAGAGTTGTAATCACTCGATCATAAAAAGAGAAACATCTAACGGCTATAATTCTGGTACGAGAGGTCGATTTGGAAATAATGGTTATAATTACAACAGCGAAAGATACAGACCAAAGCAATTTTCTAATCATTTTCAACAGGAAGTAAGTTTCTTTGGTGATAAATATTCTTACAATGGGGATTTTAATAATCATAAATCAGAGAGATTGGATCATCATCGAGGTGAATCTAATAATGATCTCAGACCTAAGAATTGTAATTATCAGAATAACACACATCAGGATCAAAAACCTATATTTGATAATGACAGAAACGTATCGAGAAGAATAAATAATGGAACAGGATCTTCTTATTCACAGGAAGGATGGGATCCTGGACGTAATTGGAAAGGAAGGCAGTATCATAAGAACACTTCATGGGATAATAATAAGAATTTACAAAATTCAAGTGGTTCAGATCATAAAGGTAATTCGAGCGGACAAGTTATAAATAAAATTACGAATTCAGGAATTAAAAACCGAGAAAAGTCAAATATTTCTAACGGTAGAATAAGTGCTAATGATGTAGCGCCGTCAATATCTAATGTAATATCTATGAAAGTTCACGTGAAGGAAACTTCTTATGTTACAAATTCCAATAAAAAACCTGTCACAAATTGTAAATGCGCAACAGATGCAACACGCCTTTTATCAGAAAATCAGAGGTTAAAATCTGAAAAGCAAAAGTTGATCTCTAAACATGAAGATGAAATAGATCAATGGCTTATGAAAGTGGAGGATTTAGAATACGAGGTGAAACGTCTTCTGAGTAGGGTAGGACATTATAAAACTGAATACGAATCCGAACAAAACTTAAGACAATCTTGTCAGATGAAGATAATTGAACTTCAAGCTCAAATTGCGGATGTAACAACAAAAATCGATGAATTACATATTTTAAAGGAGAAGGAAAAAGAAGAATACGCTATGGGAAATATGAAATGTAAAGTATGTTTTGAAGAAACGATCACGCATGCCCTTTTACCTTGTTATCACTTTGCGTTGTGTTTTAAGTGTGCTCGGGCAGTTACTAAGTGTGTTATTTGTCGAAAACCAAAGGAGAAGATTATTAGAATTTATTTGGGATAATTATAATATTTATGTGGAATAAGGACATGAATTGAAGGAGTTCTTTTAGAAGAATATGACGGTCGGAGATAAATATTAAAAACTTCCCTGCAATAAAGAAAAATCATAATACGTAATTGCATTTGCATTAGTTTTCTATTATAGCAATCCTTTACTATACACTATTCCTTAGGAAATCTTAATTTTTTATTATTTTGTATATATAATATATTCTTGCTAAACAAAAAAAAAAGAATACGTTAATAATAATACAGCTAGCTAATTTGGTTATTTTTAATAATATCTTTTGCTTATTGTATATTATTTTATTCCAACATAATCTCCAAGTTTCAAATAATAGATAAAAATAAATTTGCAAAGAAAAAGATAAAAAATTCTTATTTTATTTATTGAATCAACATACCACCAAATTTAATGATCATATTTTCTCTAACTAATTTCCTCTCCCTTCCTAACCTGTATGGTTATAAATAACTTTACCTTTCCTTCGTTCTTTCTCAATTTTATCCAGCATTAATTTTCTTTGTATTAGGCCATCTTTAGCTGCTACACTAAGTACTCCTACCAATAATTCAATCCCTCTAACGGAATCATCATTGGCAGGTATAGGCCAAGTAACTTTATTAGGGTCAAAATCCGTATCAATTACTCCAATAGTAGGAACATTACCCTGCCTTGCCTCCTCAAGTACAATTTCATTTTCTGAAGGATTTAATAAAACAATTAAATCAGGTTTAAATACTTTTGAAATAACATCTTGTTCCTTTTTTGGTATTAAAGAACCTAAAATTTGTTGAGAATTGGTTATAGTACCAGGTAACCAACGGGTTGTCAATTGATACTGATTACAACGTCTAGCAGCTTTTATAATACTGTTAGAAAATCCTCCTCCTCTCGTGTTAATAAATAATATTATACCGTCATTATATGAAATTTCTTTTATTGCTTTACATGCTCTACGTAAATAGATCAATGTGTAATCTAAATTTATTATATTTATACCATGTCTTATTCCAAAAATAAATGGTGATGTTTTTGGATTCCAAAGCGAGGTTGAATGTCCTAAATGTAAATTAGCCGTTAATAGTGATGAAAGTGTTAAATCATACGGTGAAGGTGGTGATTCTAAATTTTTGGTTGCTGAATCAAAGATTTTTTTAAATGATCCTGTTTGTTTTACAAATCCCGGGACTATTTTTTTTTAAAAAAAAAGAATTTAATAATGCATACATACGTATTTCTCTAATCAAAAAAAAAAAACTTTTGAATACCATCATCTTTGAGTCTGAATTTTGCAGGATCGATTGGGTTATCATCAATCGCTTTGTAAAATCTAGACGATAATTCCTGTTTAAAATCTATACTTTCTCGCTGTTGTTGCTCCTGTTTAGAATTTAAATTTTTATTATTAAGTAGTGAAGTTATTGTTCTTGTTGGTGGTACTATGTTATTTATTATATTTAATTAGTTAAGAGTTTAATTTATTTTATAATTCAAAATTCTATTAAAATATGATAATGCTTGCTTACAATTTAACTTGCCATTAAAAGAAATAAGCGTGCGCGTATTATTTCGAAGTAGTTTAATTGAATGATACATCATATTCAATGAAAAAAAAACCCCCACCCCAAAGATTAGAATTTATATCTTTTTTGTGCAATCTTTACCCAAAGGAAAAAAAAAAAAAAAAGGAATTGTTATAAATAAATTCGCCCCCACCTGGATTCGAACCAGGATCCTTTCGGTTAACAGCCGAACGCGCTAGCCGGTTGCGCCATGGAGGCTTTATATGCTAACAAACTTTTTATTTGTTATAATTTGGTTTTATAATAATTCAAACATCGTCGATTGAATATCTAGCGCCGCTGCAAAAAAAATTTATTTGCCGGTATCATGTGACTCTATAATTTATTAAATTTGTCACCCAGATTACACCCTTCTTCTTTTATAATGTTCTATATCAAATTTTGTGACCATTTTTTATCCTAATATAAAAAAATTCCATGTATCTTATACACATAATTACAGATCATTAATTATAAGAACTTAAAATAAAAATATTTTTATTAATTTAAAAAACTACAATTTTCTATATAATTTTAAGTTTATATTTAAAATTAATGTCAAATAGCTAATTATTAAATAAATTAATTAATAAAAAAAATAGATTAAAATGGGTCTACTAATTTACCTCCACGCTATGATTGGCTGATATAATAGATTATGCTTATCTATAACATCCCAATTCCCTCAAAAATATAATAAAAATTGAAACATCACCAGTGTCATGCCGATGACAAATCACCTAACACCTAACCCTAGCCCTAACTAATCTCACTTATCCCTTCAAGCGTTTTGCAGGCAAATTTGCCTGCAATTTTATTTTATAATTAAAATTATTTATAATATTTTTAAATATTTTTAAAATAATTTATTTAAAAATTAATATTTTTATAATAAATT